TTCCTTTGTAATCCTACCTACCCCTTTCCCTGTTTGGATAAATGTTCCATGGAAACTCCCTTTGTGTGTCCCCTTCTCTTGCTCTGCCCTTGGGTGTGGCCTTCCTAGATGTCAGTCAACCTGCTGACAGCAGACATCACGAAGCTAGACTCAGCCCCCTGAAACCTGACCCCTTACCTCATTTGAATAGCCTCTCCTCAATAAAAGGGGTCAGCACCTGCTCCTCTCTCTCTCTCTCTCTCTCTCTCTCTCTTTCTATGAACCGCTAAGGTTGGAGGAGCCAGCACAGGACCCAAAGAAAAAGGTATTTCTCTGTCTCTGTATGATTATTTTGAGCAGCCCAGTTCACCTGGAGTGACCCTGACTGTTTAGTCATGAGATGTGACATTCCTTTGCCCAATCCAAAGACTGTCCATTCTTCCCATGTCTCCCCCTCCCCCATCATAGATCAGCATCCACTAATCTGAGAAAACATTTGGTCTTTAGTTTTTGGGGATTGACTTACTTCACTTAGCACAGTATTCTCCAACTCTATCCATTTACCTGCAAATACCACAATTTTATTCTCTTTTAAAGCTGAGTAATATTCCATTGTGTATATCAACCACAGTTTCTTTATCCATTCATCTATTGAAGGGCATCTAAGTTGGTTCCACAGTTTAGGTATTGTGGATTCAGCTGCTATAAACATTGGTGTGGCTGTGTCACTATAGTATGCTGATTTTAAGTCCTTTGGGAGGAGTGGGATAGCTGGGTCAGATGGTGGTTCCATTCCAAGTTTTCTGAGGAATCTCCACACTGCTTTCCAAAGTGGTTGCACCAATTTGCAGTCCCACCAGCAATGTATGAGTGTACCTTTTCCCCACATCCTCTCCAACACTGAATATTACTTCCATTCTTGATAATTGCCATTCTGGCTGGAGTGAGATGAAGAGTATTTTTGATTTGAATTTGATGAGACACATTCTTTTTTTAATATTTATTTTTTAGTTTTAGGTGGACACAATATCTTTATTTTTTTTATTTTTATATGACACTGAGGATCGAACCCAGTGCCTCATGCATGCTAGGCGAATGCTCTACCACTGAGCCCCAGCCCCAGCCCAAGAGAGACACTGTCTTACTAAACTGGGAAGAGAAGGGAATTTCTTGAACTGATGAGGCTTCCATGCCAAAAATCTAAAGCTGGCACTAGACACGATGATCCTCAGCGTTAATAGAAGAAGTAAAGGTAGGGAGAAAGGAGACAGAGAAAAGGAAAAAGACTGTAGCTGTGAATCTGAAAGCTCCTGTGGTCAGACTTACTCTCCAGATCTGATTTTCCTCCAGGCCTGTCTCTCTCAAATTTCTGAGAAATCTACAAATGTTAGAGTTACTGTACATTTGCTCATCTATAAAAATTGCCCTATTTTGATTAAAGCTCAAATGTACTGTTCACTTGTGCAATGTATTTTCAGATTAGATAAAACAGAAATGTGTATTTTACAAATCTGTACTATAAACCCATTCCAAGCATTATCTAGGTAGTGCAGATAATGTCAACCTCAAGCTCCTGGAAAGAACCAGAACATCATAAACAACCTGTGACCCGGGCTGGGGATGTGGCTCAAGTGGTAGCGCGCTCGCCTGGCATGCGTGTGGCCCGGGTTCGATCCTCAGCACCACATACAAACAAAGATGTTGTGTCCGCCGAAAACTAACAGGTAAATATTAAAATTCTCCCTCCCCCCCCGTCTCTCTCTTTAAAAAAAAAAAGTTTAAAAAAATTTAAAAAAAAACCCAAAAAACAACCTGTGACCCATGATCAGAGAACTGAGTTCACCATCTGATGTTCCCAAACACAGCCCAAGTTCATCCCTGGTAAAGTTTTCTTTAAAAGAAGAGTCGTAGCCAGAAGAAGTGGCACATGCCTGTAATCCCAGGAACTCAGGAGACGGAGGCAAGAGAACCCCAAATTCAAGCCCAGCCTGGGCAACTTAGTGAGACCCTGTCTCAAAATAAAAAGATCCGGGGGTGTGGCTCAGTGACAGAGTTCTAGGGGTGATTTCAATCTCTAATACTTTAAGGGGGAGGGGGGGAAGATACAAAGTATCTAGAATGTAGAAGAATGAGCCAAAAAATTTTTTTTGAGCCAATTTTTTTTTTGACAGAATATTTTGCTAAAGGAAAGAGAATCTGAGCAAATAAATATTCCATCAAGATGTGCATGTTCTCCACATTCATCTCCCAATGTCATACGATGCTAACCAAAGTTCCAGTTGGAGTTCCCTGAGAGATTTGATAAATTTACTAAAACATTTTGCTAGCTGGACAAAGATCCACAAATTACTAAAAAAAAAAAAAAAAGAAAGAAAGAAAGAAAAGTCTGGAGGGTAGGCTTTTTTTCCTCCAAGACTGAAAAAACCAAAATAATAAAAACATCTGTGGCCTTGGCACAAGAACAGACAAGGAGAGGATGAACGGAAGAGAAGAGAGGACCAGCAGGCAAGCTGGCAGGGAGAGGGACTTGACATCTATTAAGCCAGATGACGTTGGAAGAGACAGCTCTTTATGTTCAGAAAACCAAAACTGGATTCCTACCTAACAGCCCATGCAAAGGTGGCCCCTAGATGGTTCGCTGTAGACGTGAAGATCAAAAGACAAAATTAAGCTGGGCATGGTGGCGCATGCCTGTAATCCCAGAAGCTGGGGAGACTGAGGCAGGAGGATCATGAGTTCAAAGCCAGCCTCAGCAATGGTGAGGCACTAAGCAACTCAGTCTCTAAACAAAAAATACAAAATAGTGCTGAGGATGTGGCTCAGTGGTAAAGTGCCCATGAGTTCAATCCCCAGTATCAAAGGAAAAAAAAAGACAAAATTAACAAAAGACAGTGCAGGAGGGTACTGTTGCAGTGGGGCAGGAATAAAAGACTTAAAAGTTTCAAAAGCATAACAGGTAAGCACCAACCCCTCCCCCCACTTTCTGCAGAAAAAAAAAATTTTAAAGAAAACGATGAACTTGATTATGCTAAAATGAAGAGTTTTGTTAAATGAAAACACACCATGGGCAAAATTAAGAGGCACTTAACAGAACAAAGAAGGTGTTTGTGATGTCTAAAGCCAATAGGACATTAATATCTAGAATAAATGAAGATCTTGTGCAAGTCAACAGAAAGTCGGCAAAAACCCCAAAGAAAATGGCCGGAGGATCTGAACTGGCAATTTCCAAAAGACAAAAACTAAATCCAATAAACACACGAAGAGATGATCCAAATCCTTAGTAATGAAAAATGGGGCAAAAGAGGTCTAACAGCTGGGTGTGGGGTGGTGGGTGGATCCTTGGGGAAGCTACCTGGTTCTACTTATGCAAATCAGGGTTTCATACCTGGGGTACACCAGGGGCTCCCCTCCCAGCCACCCTGCAGACATGGTAGAAGTGAGAGTGGAATGGTGGGTAAAAATGCATAAATGGATGCATGCAGATAAGAGAGAGACCTGCCTAGACCAGCCATATAACTGACTAGGAACTGAGGAGCATGGTAACACCCCCCATCTACACAAGCCCACGTCTAGAGCTTGCAGGCCATCAGGGAGGCCCAGAACCGCTGTGGGACAAGAGAGGGAGCCCAAAAGTTTCAGTGACTCATGGGAATATCTTATGGTCTTAGGGCACAGGGACAGAGTGGAAAATGCTCCTGCACATCCCAGTGCAAACGAGGAAACTGACTTGGGCTAATCTAAGTGACCAGAGTACTAGAGGTGAGAAGGGGGCAGTGACCTGGGCTAGGGTAGTGGCAGGTGAGGGGGGGGGGGAAGGTGGGAGGGGCGAGACCAATTACGGGCACCCACGCCTCCTGCTTTTATGGCCCAGATCCTGGCTTCAGCCTGTAGGAGAAAGGCCAGGGCAGGGGGGTGGCTGCAGGAGCAAGCAGTCCCAGCCAGAGGACCAGTGCCAGGTCCCCCTGCCCCTGGCAGCTCTGGATAGCCCAGTGGAGACCTCCTTTGTGCTGCGTGTGTGTGTGTGTGTGTGTGTGTGTGTGTGTGAGAGAGAGAGAGAGAGAGAGAGAGAGAGAGAATATGAGTGTGAATGGCTCTTTGTGTGCATGGATGTGTGCGCCTGAGCATGTGACAGCAAGCTGTGAACTAGTGTGTGTCTACTGGCTAGTGTTTCCGCAGTGGCTCAAGCTCAGCACCACATACAAACAAAGATGTTGTGTCCACCAAAAACTAAAAAATAAACATTAAAAAAAAAAAGGAGTAGATTACTTTTGAAAGGGCCCCAGAATTGGCTGCAAGGAAACAAAGTAGCAAAAGGGCACAGCTTTCAATTTTTTTTATATAAAACTGCAACATAGTTTCTTTGCTTTTGGGGGGGTAGTTTATTGAATTGAAGGTCATACCTTGAGGATTGGGGAAGGCAATTGCTTTTAGCTCAAACAAGCAAATTAAAGAAGAAAGATGAAAACAGATCGGGTGTTAAGGGTGGGAGGCACCGGCAGGACACCTGTAGGGAGGAGGCTGGTTGTGTGCGCATGGGAGAACCCGGGCAGAGACACACAAGGCAGACGTGGAGAGTGTTGTCTGGCCCAGGCACAACCTCGGCCCAGCCCTTCCTGGGCAGAATTTTTAGCACAACCTTGGCCCAGCCCTTCCTGGGCAGAATTTTACCTCTGCTCCCAAACAGTGCCTGTCCCTACTTGTGCCACCTCTGGGTGGGCCTTTTCCAGAGGGCTCACCCTCTGTCCCCTCACTAGTTGGCACAGGGGGATGGCTGCCCATTAGCAGCTCTTGGAGTCCCTCTGAGCTTGCGGAAGCCCCAGCGGGACTTTGTGGGCCACACGTGCAGGCGCAGGTGGGTGCAGGGTCTGTCTCCTCCCAGCCCTTCCCCAAGCGCAGCTGCACCGAGGGCCCTGGCCGCCTGCCATGAGGAAATGAGGCTCCGCCTTCCACACCCATCTATCGTGGTCTGGTACCGAGCGCCTCCCCCGACCCCCGTCTCTGCTCTGGGTGGGCTGTGGACGCGGATGTGGAAGAGAAAGAATCGAGAGGTGCTCTCCCGAGTGCTCCAGGCTCAGCTGAGTCCTGTCTGGGTTTCTTTGTGCCTGGTGGGGACCCCATCCCACGGGCGCCTGGACTCACGAGGCCCAGCAGGGAACATGTGACCCGCAAACGCGGCTGACTCGCGTCCAGCGGGCGGGGACGGGACGAGCCGGGGGCCGCCGCTGGTCAGGACTCAGCGGCCAGCGCGGTGACTCAGCAGCAGGGGCGGAGCGGGGCGGGACGCCCCTTATAAGGGTCGGCTGCCACTGGGCCTGCGCCGAGCTCCGCCGCCGTCGTCCACGCACTTAGTGTCTGTCCCGCTCTGCTGACCGCGCAGCAGCCAGTGAGTCCGCGTCCTCTAGTCTCCAAGGGCTCCCAGGATGCTGTTGGCGCGGGGCCCGGGCTACCCGGGGACTCGGAGCTCCCAGCACCGGGCAGCTCCCACCCAGTGCCCCGAGTGGGACTCAGGGGTCTCAGGGCGTCCCCAGCGCGGAGCTGGGAGCTCTCAGGGGGCCCAGAGCAGGGACTGGCCCTGGGGAGGGGGCGGGTGCACTCTCCGCCCAAGTCCCCACTGGAGCGGACGGAGTGCACCCGCCCCACAAGACACGCAGGGATCTAACTGTCTTCTCTGCCCGCTCTAGTGCCGCCCTACACCATTGTCTACTTCCCGGTTCGAGGTAGGTGTCTTCGGCCGCAGGGATGGGAGGTACAGGGTGGTATCTGCAGCCCCTGGCCCCTCGCCCACCTGCAAGAGGCCCCACCCACCCTTGCCTCTCCATGTGGCTGCAAGGCCTGGTCTCCTTTGCCATGCCCAGGTCTCTCCCCCGTATTCTGTGAATCAATTGGAGTCTCCTTTCCAGTGACCCCTCCCCTCGCTCCTTCCTCTGGTTCCCCTGAGGCTGGGTCTCTGGGCTGTCCCTCAACCCACCCACCCCGTCCTGACCCCCACCCAGGGCGATGCGAGGCCATGCGCATGCTGCTGGCTGACCAGGGCCAGAGCTGGAAGGAGGAGGTGGTGACTCCGGATACCTGGCAGCAGGGCTCTCTCAAGGCCTCCTGTGTGAGTGACCATACCTCTGTGGGAGCATGAGCTGGGCCTTAGAGGGGCTGCAACTAGGGCAAGTGGCAGCCAGGCTTGGTGGCCCTCACGGAATCATGTCATCCCCCAGGTGTATGGGCAGCTGCCCAAGTTCCAGGACGGGGACCTCAACCTGTACCAGTCCAATGCCATCTTGCGTCACCTGGGCCGCTCCTTGGGTGAGTCCTGAGGACCATGTGTGGCCTCCCAGTCTGGAGTGGATGCAGTTGAGACATGCAGAGGCTGTGCCCTTTGCCCAGGGGGCTGCCCAGGCCCACCTCCCTCCTTGCCCTGGGCCAGGCTGCCTCTCAGGAGCTCTGAGCACCTGCAGTGTGTTAGGCTCAACTGTGCCTCCATCTGTGTCCCCTTCCCCTCCCAAGCCGAGGCCCACCGAGAGCCACATGCCTGTGTTGATCAGGCACCACTCATGCTGTCTGCTCCCCTGACCCCCCAGGGCTCTATGGGAAGGACCAGCGGGAGGCAGCCTTAGTGGACATGGTGAATGATGGCGTGGAGGAGCTTCGCTGCAAATATGTCACCCTCATCTACACCAACTATGTGAGCCTGGGCACTGGGAGTAAAGGAAGAAAGGGGCTTCTTCTGTCCTGACCCCCCACCCTCATGTGGTTCTGGTTGATCCCTATGCCAGTCAGAGTGCCGAGGCTGGGTCAGGCTCAGTGCTGGGGCCCAGGGACCTTCATGGGCAAGACAACCCTCATCCTCATTGCCAGGGATGAGCCAGACTAGTAACAGTAGCGGTGGCAGAGTGCAAGCCCAGGAAGCCTCTGGCAAGACATGGGTCCCCTGGCCTCTGCTGGGCCAGGGCTTCCTGGAGCAGCCTGAGGAGGAGGATCTGTTGCCGGTTTCTGGAAGGAGATGCTGGCAGTTTTGATGGGCAAGGCATGCAGATCTGGAGCATCAGGACCAGTTTAGCAGAGGCCGGGAGCAGGCAGGCACTCACCAGTGTGTGTGTGGCCTGGGTGTGGAGCTGGAGCATGAGGAGACAGAGGTGGGGGACAGCAGGCCAGGTCCTGAAGGCCTTGGGCTCTCCTATGGGCAGTTCTAAGCAGGCTGTGTCTGCTTGGGAGATCTAGAAGAATCCTCCAGGGAAGCCAGCTGGGCAGCCTTTGCAGATCCCAGTGGGGAGAGGAAGGTGAACAGAGTGGAGAATTAGCTGAACTGGAGGCACTTGGAGTAACCTGGGGAGCAGCCAGGCTCCCGTCTCTGGCCTGCCCACCGTGGGCAGCAGAGGGGGTGCATCTCGGGGGCAGCAGGGGCTTGGGTGCGGGTGTGGAGGATGATCGCAGCCCGGGCTTCCTCCTGCCAGGAGGCTGGCAAGGAGAACTACGTGAAGGCACTGCCCGGCCACCTGAAGCCTTTTGAGAACCTACTGTCCCAGAACCAGGGAGGCAAGGCCTTCATCATTGGGGACCAGGTGAGGATCTGGCCCTTCTGGGACACCCCCTCCTTGTGAATGGAAACCGCAGAACCATTCACACAGCCCAGTGGGGTAGTCCTGGGGGGTGGGCTCCGCTCTCTGCCTCCGTCCTGCTCCCACCAGCTGAGACCCACCTTCCCCGCAGATCTCCTTTGCTGACTACAACCTGCTGGACTTGCTGCTGATCCACCAGGTGCTGGCTCCCAGCTGCCTGGACGCCTTCCCCCTGCTCTCGGCCTACGTGGCGCGCCTGAGCGCCCGGCCCAAGCTCAAGGCTTTCCTGGCCTCCCCGGACCACGTCAACCGCCCCATCAATGGCAATGGCAAACAGTGAGGCTGCAGTGAGGGCTGCTGGGCCCTCCCAGAGGCGGGCTGCTTGCTCCCTTGAGACCAATAAAATTTCCACGACAGATGCTGCAGCGTGAGCGTTGTTTTTTGGGCAGAGGGCTCTGGGACCCTCGCTTGTCGGGCTGGGAAAGGTACAGACTGGAGAAACTTGCATCCAAGGCCCAGAGTATCTTCCTGGAGCCTGCAACCCAGGCAGTTCACTGAAACAGGAAGCAAGAAAGACAGGAAATGAAAGTAAACAGGGGCGAGTACTCACAGCCATCATCCAGAGGACGCCACGGTCTAGTGAGGGGGAAGTTCATGGATGTGATTTCTAGTCCCGCAGGTGCATGCTAGAGTGACCCTCCAGGACATGAGAACTGAAGGGACTCGACAGCTGTGGGTGTTGTCCCCCTCGGCTGGGCTGGTGGGGGCCTCCCTCCTGGGGGGGGCTCGCCTCACTTCCTGGGGACTTGGGACTTTGGTGCATCCTGGGCAACAAGCCACACTAGTGTCCCAGTCCAGCTTCTCCAGAGGAGTAGAGCTAGTAAGCCGCTGTAGGGAGGCAGAATGTTTTCCTCTGACCTTTGGCTGGCACTGAGAATTACCCTGAGAGATCAATAGGAGGAAAGCCTTCGGGAACCCCGAAACACAGCTAGTGTTGAACACCTGTATACTGAGACAAATAGCAGAAAATGTGATGGCCCAGTGGCTTGGGCTAGGGCAGTTAATTGAGTAAAGTGTCCATGAAGATAGGGTTAGTTTAATAAGGTTGGTTTGTACAGATTTTCCTTGGCCTCCGTATTCTGTCCTTGATGAGAATGGCACTGTCCTCTGTCCGTTTCTGTTGCTACAACAGAACACCTGAGACTAACTTATAAAGGAAAGAGGTTTGTTCGGGTTCATAATCCTGAAATTCCAAGAGCATGGCACCAGCATCGTGGCCAGCTTCCTGCAGAGTGGGAAGTGGTCCTGGAGTGACCCATCCCTGCAAGAAAAAAAAAAAAAAATCCATGATGGTTCCACCCCCATGACCCAATACCTCTTAAAGGCCCCTGCATCTCTCAATACCATTATGTTGGAGCTTGTTTGAACAGGAGTTTTGATGAGGACAAGCAGCATTCAAGCCATAGCAGCATTATTCACAAGGGCATTTCATCCCTTGCTTTTAAGCAAAGGAAGGTCACAGAGTCACACACCTGCTGTATTTCAAGTCTAATTCCAAATACTCAGGATGCCAGAGGGGCATCTGTTGGCGTGGCACACCCGGAACTCCTTTTCCCACATCCTCGACTGCCCTAGGCTTACAAAGGCCGAGTTGGTGGCCACAGAGAGGAGGATCAGGCTAGCTGCTGAGCAGTTGCAGAAGGAGAAAAGAACAGGTGAGAATCAACACCAGAGGTCAAAGGGAGAGCGTTTCCCCCAATGGCTGACCGGCCTCCGTCCCACAGGACAGATCCATCGACCAAACGTCGGGCTTCATTCATCTGACGGAGAGAGAATATCTTGCCCTCTAAAATGTGCAGATTAGACACTTTGCCCAGAGTAATCCAAACAGGCGCAGCATGGGGCTATATGAGAGCCCCTCAGGTCATCGGAGGTATGCTCTTGAAGGGGACTGTGGATTCTGGCCCCTTCCTCTTTCGTTGCTTCCTGTCTCGTGATGTAAATGCTTTTGCTCTGCTCTGTATGCTTGTTTTGATGTGCTGCGTTGCCTTAGGCCCTAAAGCAACAGGTCCTCCTGATCATGAACTGGGACCTCTAAATCCATGAGCCAAAATATACCTACTTTCTTTTTAAGTTAATTATGTCAGGTATTTGGTTATAGTGATGGGAAGCTGACTAACTCAGAGCCAATCTCTCAGGGAGGAGTTCACTCTGAGAGATTGCTGAGCTCGTCAGAGGGCAGTGCTCCCTGGGACCGACTGAAATGCCTCCCATTGGGTGGATTTGGGGGATCACATTCAGACTATAGCAGTTTGTAATAGGGCAGCAATTGTGTGCCCACTGGCAATAGGAGGACCACGGGATTCCCAGGTTGTGTCAACACCGTGGCAGACCAAAACACATCTGGAGCCGTGTCAGTGGGGCAGTGTTTCCTTCTTCCAGTTCGATGGCTTTGTAGCTGGTGGATTATGCCTGCAATGTTTCATGGGGCAAAAGTATGGCCCAGCCAGTTGTTAGGTTTCCCTGGAAATTCCACCTTCAGGAGCTGATACAACCCAGAAGGAAGTCAGGACAGGTATCCAAGAGGCCTCTGTGACCGGGGTACCATGTCCCCAGCTGCCAGGCTCTCAGAGGGCGGCAGGGGAGCAGGATGTTAAGTGTTATGGGGACCCAGGTGATGAGGCTGGTTAGTGGGGCTCGTCATAGGTGGCCTGTCATCCAGAAGAGCCGGGATGGGTCTTGTGAACTGGCAAGAGAGCTGACAGCCTGGGGACTTGTTTAAAAACATGGGGGGGGGGCCTCTGGCCCTTTCTTTACCTGTATAATAAATTCCTACAAAGCCTCCTGTGAACAGTAAGAGGAACCTGGAAACTGCACCAACGAGAAGCGGCTTCTCACTCGGCAATCCCATCGCTTTCTTTGCCTGGCTCCTGAGAATACTCTGTACGTTTCCCTGGTGACCCTCCCAGAGGAGCGCCGGTCACTGTGACCTGGTGCTGACCCCAGTGAGGAATCACTGACTGCTCCAGCTCTTCAAAACCTAGAGGTGCCTAAGTCCACCATTCACTGATCTGATCTGTCAGAAGTGAGTCCGGAAGAGCCACCCACCCACCCCGACCCACCACGAGGGCACCAGGAGCCCTGAGCGTCAGCTTAGATCCCCCCCCCCCCCCCCCCCCCCCCCCCCGCACATTTGCAGGGTGTCACCGAGTGCGTCTGGGCTCTGTGTGTGTGTGTGTGTGTGTGTGTGATGTGGGGTTGAACCCAGGGCCTTGTGCATGCGAGGCAAGCACTCTACCAACTGAGCTGTATCCCCAGCCCCCGAGCATTTTTGATCTTGGACTGAAGTTATAGAAATTGGGCTGGGTTAGGGCTGGGGACATGGCTCAGTTGGTAAAGTGCTTTCCTCTCATATGCACAAGGCCCTGGGTTCTAATCCCCAGCACCACAAAAAAAAAAAAAGAAAGAAATTGGGCTTGTCCTGTGGTAGGAGCTGAGGGAGGAGTGGGTGCCTGATCAGGTTGGAGAGAAACTTAACTGGGCCTTGTAGAGCTACCTGGTGGGTGAGTTTCCAGGAAGACAGAAAATGATGGTTTTATTTAAATCGAGGGAGTCCTAAGACTCTGTCTCAGAACCTATGCTTCTCTAGGAAAGAGGGTGAATCTTACAAAAAACAATTTAGAATTTTACTGGCCACAAGGGGTGGGTTTTAACTTAAAGTTGCTCATCTATGGGTTCCATGGAGAAGGGGAGGAGGGTCTTTCAAACCTCTCAGAGTCCACAGGGTAGTTCTGGCTTTTTGGCAGGCAGAGGCTTTAAGCTTTCTTTCCTAGGTGGGGGGTGGGCCCTTTAAGAGGTGGGGCTTAGTGGCAAGTCCAAACTGGCAGCTGGCCTCCAAGTCAAGCTCTCTCTTTTTTTTTTTTTTTAGCTTTCGGGGAACACAACATCTTTGTTTCAACATCTTTGTTTATGTGGTGTTGAGGATCTAACCGCAACACGCATGCCAGGCGAGCGGCGCTACATCCCCAGCCCAAGTCAAGCCCTCTTGAAAGCCTCCACTCTCTGGCTTCCTGTTTTGAAAAGTGATTCCTTCCTTTCTCACATGTTCCTGTCATCTGCCCTGGGACCCTCATCCCATCCTGCATCATGCATTTGAACTTTGAACCTCACACTGTGAGCTAAATAAATCTCTTTATTTTATAAGGTTAGCTTGCCTCAGGTATTTTGTTATAGCAAAACAAAGACAGAGGCCCTAAGAAATTTTTTGGCCATCTGTTCCCTCCCTAGGGATATTTCCCCCCAAGATCATCTGGCCAGTCGGATAACTACAGGGTAATCATGGGTGGAAGAACACCCCTTGCCAGTGAGTGTTTCTTGCTGGGGATGGAACCCAGGGCCTTGCACACTCCAGGCAAGTGTTCTGCCCATGAGCTGCATTGTCAGCACTAATTGTTTCCCCCCAATATAGAAGCCCTTCCCATTCAAAGGGTCCGCTGAGGCCACTGCCGAGCGGGAGCTTCGAGACTTTTATTCCAGGGGTGATGCTGCCCATCACAAGAAGCCTTTTCAAAGAAACACCAGGAGGGAACTTTCCAGGCTTAGAAAGAATCTGTAGCATGGCCTCAAGAAGTATCCCGAGAGCAGGTGCACGAGATCCAGCCTCCATGATCCCAGACTCCACTCCCAACGGCTGTGCAAGAAAGCAAAGTCCTTGGTTGTCACAGGTGGTGATAAAAGTGCTTGTGAAACAGTGGGTCTCCCGCGGAGGCACCAGGTGGACCACATGGGACAGTGAGGGTGGAGATGAGGAAGCCCTCCCTGGGGCCTCTTATCAGGACAAACTCCCAGGGAGTCAAACAAAGAAAGAGCTGTGTGTCTCTCAGACCTTTGTTCCCTGTGTGTTCTGCTGGCAGCCCCACACCAGCCAAGACTTGTGTCCCCCTGCCTGGCAGAGGCCAGACGGGAGATTCTCACTGTCACAAAGCCAAGCTCTCGGTGTAATAAGATGTAAAATAAGACGGGTGAAGAGTTTTCGCGGGAGTGGCAGAAAGTCTGCACGGAGGCCGGCCTGACAGGGGACGTGACCTGCCTGGCCACGAGGGGGGCTCAGGTAACAGGCACAGGACCCACATCTGGGTTCCATCTGTCCTCCTCCTCCTCACTCCCAGTGACGGGAAGGACAGAGACTGGAGAAAGCAGTGACCATCTCTGGGAGGAAAAGGGGCAACAGAAACAAGAACAGACCTGACAGACTCCGGCGGGGGCTCTCCCCAAAGACCCGGCTCACCCAGAGGTTTTCTCCTGAATTTTGGAAGGGAAGGAGACAAGGAGAGACTCTTGCTAGGCTTCAGCTGGACCTGGTGCCAGAGGTCTGGGAGCAGCCCGGGCTGAGCATCCTCCCCTCCTGCTGGCTTCTGTC